TGAAACCCATCAATAGTAAATTCAGAAAAATCACAGACTGTAGGCATACAGACAGGGGGGTGGGGGTCAGGTGGGGCGGAGAGAAAAATCAAATTTGTTCGTTTAAGTAAAGAGAAGCACATCAAGACAATAAAGGTCATTTACTGCTGAGGGAAAAAAGGTAGCACAGACAGAACCAACAGAGGGAAAGTGAAAAAGTAGGACCTACCAGTGACACCCTCCAACTACTCTCTCTGTCATTAATAATAATTAACAATCAACCTGTGTTCAAAAAAGGGTGTAAATGTAAAACAAAAACAAAAACAAAATCCACGACTATTATGGCCTTCAATAAGGATATGTCCACCTATATGTGAGGCAGTGTGGTTAAATCAGGCGCTCGTCAAAATAATGAAAATGAAGAAACTGGCATTGTTCGCAGGTTTGGGAATTTTAGTGTCTTCTTGTATTTTCTTTGGCTTAAAGCCTTTCATGCCCATTAAAAAACACCTTATAGGTGTGGATATTACAGAAAAGCGTTGATTAAAGGCAAAAAAAGTTAAATTTTAAGTTTCCACGGACTCTCAAGCTTAGGAAATAACTAATAACTACACTTTGGCTGAGATTTTCTCGTTAATTCTACCTCTGAAACAAGGCGACCCCCACCTCCTACAGTCGCCGATATCCCGACTTGTATCCAAGGTAAAAGGATTTTTTTCCCCCATTGAAAACAAGGCAGACGGACAGGCTTTAAGATGATACCAATAACTCCATATGCCCAAAAAGTGACGAGCGCCTGATTTTAGCACGTCGTGTCACATATATAGAGTGCTCACCTGATCAAATCTGTTGACGTCATTGGACATCAGGTTGACGATCTGTCCTACTGTGGTCTCTCCCATTGCCTTGTTGCTTAGGCGTAGACACTGTCCAAAGGAGGAGGGGGGAGAGAGAAATGAAAGGTTATACATTTTATAGATGGCTTACTGCTATGTCTGTCTGTCTGTCTGTCTGCATCTATAACTGTCTGTCTCTATCTATGTTTGTCTATATACATGTTATGTATGCGTGTGCGTGTGTGTGTGCGTGTGTGTGTGCGCAAG